CGGCCGTGTCCGAGGCGCAACCCTGCCGTCCGGACGGCCGTGTCCTTGGCGCAACCCTGCCGTTCGGGCGGCCGCGTCCGAGGCGCAACCCTGCCGTCCGGACGGCCGTGTCCTTGGCGCAACCCTGCCGCCGGGACGGCCGTGTCCGAGGCGCAACCCTGCCGCCGTCCGGACGGCCGTGTCCTTGGCGCAACCCTGCCGTTCGGGCGGCCGCGTCCGAGGCGCAACCCTGCCGTCCGGACGGCCGTGTCCTTGGCGCAACCCTGCCGCCGGGACGGCCGTGTCCGAGGCGCAGCCCTGCCGTTCGGGCGGCCGTGTCCGAGGCGCAGCCCTGCCGTTCGGGCGGCCGTGTCCTTGGCGCAACCCTGCCGTTCGGGCCCTCTGCCCGGCACCTGGAAGCTCAGCCGGCCGCGCCGGCCGTCGCTGGCGTGTGTGCGGTGTGGCCGGCGACCGGCGCTGCAGCGGCGCCGGGGCCGAGCCCGGTCTGCCGGCGGTGGGCCGGGTCGTCCAGGCCGACCGCCGCCGCCCCGCGCTCTCTCCACAACCTGTCGGGAACTGCGGCTGGAGCTGTGGTTAGCGCCTGCGGAGGGCGGGTGCCTTGTACGGAGAAGGCGTCGCTGCTTCGCTGGGGAGGGATGCTCACTGCTCAGAGGTGCGGCCAGTCATGCGTGACCTGCTGAAGGCGGCTGATGGCCGCGCTGCTCTCGGAATACGCCGGCCCGCCGCCGTGGTGGGCCCGAGCGTTCGCTTTGCGGGTGTGTGTTTTGCTCCGCCATGTTTCACGTGTCGGCGCCGTGTCGCCCGGGCCCCAGGGGACATGTTGGTGGCTGCCGCGTGCTTGTTTTTGCGCATCACCTTAATTGTTTCTCAGCATGCAGGCAGCAGCCGAGCCACGTTTGAAGCTGGCTGGTGTTTAAGCTGACTGACCCGGTCTGATCTGATCTGACCTGAAGTGACCTGGCTTGGCCTGACCTGGTTCGCAGTGTACAACACGCCGCCATCCAGCCGCCGTCGGGTGGTTGCCAGTCCCAAGCTTCTCCGGCTGGCGGCGCGCCAAAACCGTAAACAACCGCTCCAATACGATCGGCGTGGACAGTCAACAGGCACTCTCAGGTAATGCGACACGACAGGTATAGCGAGGAACCAATGTCTGATGGATTCAGGGAACCCAAAGGTGTGAAATCCATCGAAACGGACATCGAAGTAATTCTTCGATGTCCGATGTGAACACTGCGTATGGTTTATAAGTTGGTGTTATGAGGCGCACGAACTGCTCGGTGCTCTCATCCCCTTATGATCTACGCTCGTGTTAAGAATACCTACGGCTGCCATGTCCCCGGCCCCTACGCTCCCCACAGTTAGCAGCGCGGACTTCCAGTCTGTGATGCAACATGGTACGATGCACGTTCACCGCACCGCATCAGAAAGGGTCGCCCATGGCAGTGGCGTAGCCAAGGCGAGCTTTAAGAAGCATGCCGCCCCAGGATGTGACCAACAGGAGGAGAAACCGAAGGTTCCAGCACGTTTTGGCGGTTTAAGACCTCATTAGGGCATCTCAAATATCCACAGGCGGTCCCGAGGCAACAATATAGGATACTGAGCCTGCAAAGATCCGCTGAATATAGAGGGGCTCTATAGCGACGAAGAGGCTCCCTTCGACTACCATGCCCTGAGCCCCTGATAATGCGATTCGGCCACTTTGATACAAGAGCCCCTGATGATCCGATTCGGCCCGTTTGATACAAGAGCCCCTGATGATCCGATTCGGCCCCTTTGACACAAGAGCCCCTGATGATCCGATTCGGCCCGTTTGATACAAGAGCCCCTGATGATCCGATTCGGCCACTTTGATACAAGAGCCCCTGATGATCCGATTCGGCCTCTTTGATACAAGAGCCCTGGATGATCCGATTCGGCCACTTTGATACAAGAGCCCCTGATGATCTGACTCGGCCCGTTTGATACAAGAGCCCCTGATGATCCGATTTGGCCCCTTCCTGGTTGAAATTCTAGCAACCCGATGGGCCTCCGTCACGTATTGTTTCACAATACTCAGCGTGGCAACTCTTTCGAAGAGTTAGGCAAATTAAATTCATTATCACTTGGAGTCGCTCCCTTGCTTTCTAGTAAGGCAGATGAAGCTTATCATAATTAGTTGCAGACTTCACATCGTTTGCATTTGAGCCGTGCTTCAGTGTGGCAGTGACTGAGGGTCGTCATTTCTTTCGCGCAGCCCTCTGCCCGGAAAACGCAACTGGTCGGGACTACATGATAACTCGGCTCAGCTCGCTGCGGTCCATAGGTGTGTGTGTGTGTGTGTCCATGTCCCACCAGCCCTCGGCAGTGCTGTCCAAACCCGCTCACATGAGTGATGCTTCTTATTTTTAGTCGTGACTGTGCCTGTTTTTGAGCTTGTGCATAACGATATTTAATGCTAAAAGGCAGCGAGCCGTGATAGGCTGGCGCGCACGGGAAGCAGCGAACGGGCGGTTAAAGGGATGTAGAGAAAGAAACATTGGAGATGATGCGATGGAAGGGACCGCTCGGAAGGCACATCTACGCGACTGGCGCCGTTCAGCTTGCCGCCGGCCTTGCCGTCTGCCGCGTCCATGTCCAGTTGACACGCCCGAGTCGCTCCAGCCTTGAGTCCCTGGCGCTCCATGAGTGCCTCGCCCGCCCCGCCGCCGACCGGGGCGTGCCTGTGTACTGTGCAGCGCCCCCCCCCCCCCCCCCCCCCCCACCACCTCCCCCCCCCCCACCGGCAGGCCTGCCGTGGGTCCGCGCGGCAACAGCGGGCCGGAGCCGCGGAGCGTCACGCGACTCGAGTGCTCGTCACGTCACGTGACGGCATGTCGCTGGCGGCGCTGTCTGAGCCTGGCACTCCTGCTGGCAGCCTCGCGCCTCCCGATGGCTGCAGACCTTGTGCCGGGTGTGGGAGCAGATGCGAGGGCGTTGCCGCGCTGCGGATGCTGCTCGGCGCGGATCGAGTGTGGCCGTGGGCGGCGGCCGGCGCCGCCGACCGGCAGGTGATTTGCGGACTCCGGTGATTCGCGGACTCCGGTGATCACCGAGTCTGGTCGCTGGCGTATCGCCGGCTGCTGCGCTGGGTGCTGGCACAGCACGAAGTCGGCTCCCCATCGACCGTCTGTCGCCCTGCCCCTGCCGCTGCGAGACGCCATCCCGGTAGCGGACGTTCTCCGGCCGGGCCGCGTCCGAAGCTTCCTGAGAGCTCTTGCTCGGGCGCGGCCCGGCCGCAGTGGCTCGGCAGGCCAAGTTTAGCCGCCACCGGCGCCGTTATGCCGCCAATCTGTCGGAGGTGGCCCGCTGTAAAGCCGGCAGCCAGCCGTATAAAGCCGGCGCTGATGGCCAAATTCGGCTGGTGAGCGGTGGCAGAGCTCCGGTGTCGCGCTCCTCACCGCCCCTCCGCGCGACGCGATCACACCGCGAACACCGCCGACGCGTGCCCCCTGCCCCGGCCCAATGGCGCGGGCGGCGCGGTCCGAACGTCGCTGGGCTGGCTCTACGGCCGCGGTCTGGGGCCGGCTGACCTGCGCAGCTGCCCGGCTCGGTCGTCGGGGAGCGGGGACCGGGGACCGTCCCGAGCCGGTACCGAGACGGCCTGTGACGTCATGGGCGGCGCGGGGCCCGCCGGTCGGCCCCAGTTTGCATGATGCACGGCCTGTTGTCGATGCCCCGGGACAGGCGGCCGGCCGTATTCGGGCGCGCCGATGGTATCGGGGCCACGGCGCGCCGCACCGGCCGGCGCCCGCCGATCGTATCACCGGCTGGTCCCCCTGCCGCCGGCGCTCACCTGGTCCGCGGCCGTGCGCCATGAGCGGAGGGGGCGCGGGCGGCCACCGTCCGCGCGCCGGAAGAGCGCCGCGGACGGCGTGTTCGGCGGGATGAGGTGGTGGTGCGCGCCACGCCGTCTTGGCACGCTGAACCCACCTGTTGGCAGACCTTACACCGGGTCACGTGGTGGGTAGGGGCCAGTGGTGGGTCATGGAAGGGGGGTGCTGTGTCTGGGTGTTGAATTAATGGATGGCTGTGGCGGTTGTTGCATTGATGAGTACATCTCCTTGTTTTTGACAGCCACACCACAAGTTTCATGTTTTGAGCTACCGGTGATGTCCAAATCCTCTACTGTACCCTAAACCGAAGTTTCAGTGAGCCTCGAAACCCTCATCGCCATCTAAGACCTCCTCATTCCCACGCAGTAGACGCATTAGGGCTGCTCCCGTTCGTCGCGTTGGAACTCTAACAATCCACACTTGATTGACGCTGCAAATTTGTGTGGCATGCAGTTGATTTCTGCCGTCTGTTCTCATATTGAAATGCTCTAGTAGAATAAGTTGCTGTCTCCATTTACCATGTCACTGATACATTTCTCATCTCTATTGCATTCGAGATTTATTCGTCAGAACAGAACCTGAGCTTTCTAAATTCACTTGATATCAGTTGAAGGCTTGAACAAATGATCTCATGTGTCTTCCTGCATCCCACTTTGCATAGCTCTCTGCATCGCACGCCATCTTGCATAGTAATATGGTGGGGGACGGGGCGAAGAGTAAAGCTGCCGATCTGCGAACCTGTAGGCCAGTACCGGCGCTGTTCCCTGCGGCGTTCGACCCGTCTATCTCAGGTGCGGCTGACGACACGTGCCGCCGCCGCCGCTGACCGGCCCCCGTCCCTCAGACACGGACGAGGAGGGCGGCCGGCCGGAGGATAGCGCGCTGTACGCGCGGCTGGGTCTGCTGCTCGGTTCGGGCGCCGAACCGCGCTCCCCGGGCTCGGAGCGCTCGCGCTCCAGTCGCTCGGGCGCCAGCTCGGGCCGCGACTCGCACGCTTCACTGGCGCACCTCGACGCCAAGTCGGCCAACACCAGCCCCGTCTCGACACTCACCGGTGAGGCGACCAGGCACGGGGTCAGAGGGGTGCCTGCCGGCGGGAAGCACAGGACGGGATGGTTGGGTGGGCAGGATGTGGTTAAACCGAGGGTGAGGAAGGCAAAACAAGATCGGCAGGTGAGGGGATGTAGGAGTACGGACAGATTAAAAGGACCGGGGATATGAATGGGCCCGACACTGTCGTGACGCATCCTGCTAGATCGCTGTGCCGATGGGAAAACCTCGAAGCAGTGCGGAGACTACTCTTCAGACAAGTGACATGTGATAGACGACTGGCCTGGGCTCGCTGGGGAACAGCGTGCAAGACCGACTCGCTGGTACCGTCTGCACTGAAATCGCAATAAAGTAATACAGACACTTTGTTTCAATTCGCCGCTGTCGGCCAACCGGCCGGTAATTGATACTGAGTCGCCAAATCTGCTGGGCACGAAACGCTCGCCATCCTTGCTGGCCTGGAGGAGCGTAGGGTTTCCTGTGTCACGAGGCCACTTCACCACGCTACAAATATGTGTGTTACGTTGTCGGCCATGTGCCTCAACGCGTGGTGCTGCTTGCAGGTTCGAGTGAGTCTGAGCTGGCGCACCTGCGCTCGGAGCGGAGACACGACAGCTTCGGCTCGCTGATGTCCATGTCGCTGAGTGGCTCCACCACCTCTGCCAGCCCGCTCATCACAGCTCGGCGCAACTCGATCGGTGAGCGAGTGTCCTGCCCTGCGCTGCGCATGCGCCCTGACCTGGTCGCCACCGTCCGCGAGCACCGCCTCGGACGCTGCCGGTCGACCCGCCGGCGGAGCGGCCGTTGCTTGAGCCGGGCGTAGAACGGGTGCGGCCTATTTATTTACGGCCGGCCGGTATCGCGTCTGTGATCGGCGTCCGTCCGCTCAATCAGCGGTGCACGTGAGCTACGGCCACGCCGCCACGGGTGGACGCGCCTCGCCGGCGGCGCCGGCCGGCCGGCTGCCGGCGCCGCTTACATGCACGGCCGCGGCGACCCGGCGGCAGCCCGCAGGGTGGCGCGGTTTGACGTGGTCTGGTGCGGGAGGCCGCCCAGTGTGCTGCCGTTGCCGTGTGTCGCCTGCCATGCACGTCGCAATTGCCGTGGTCCACGGACGTGTGTCCGGTTTTGCACGCTCGGCGGCGTGGTGCGCCGCCGCCGCCCGCTGCGCCGCACTCTGTTGGCCTGCTCTGTAGCCTGCTGTTTCCGCGGCGCCAGGTGGCCACGGAGCTGTCGACGAGCCGGGCGCGTTCCGCAGTCCTCGCGGCCAGCCGGGCAGGAGGTCGGCCCGCTGTCTTCGGGTCACGCCGCCCGCCGAAGCCAAAGGTGCGGCCATCCCCCGTCTGGCGGTGTCAGTGAGCCGCTGGGTGTGGCTGAGTACAGCGCACCGCTGTGCTCGGCGTGTGGATAGATGGAGGGACGGAGCGGAACTGTCTCGGGGATGTGCGTGGTTGTGGTTGGTGACGGAAGGAGAATACAGATTAGCTTTTGTGGTGGGGGTAACAAAGATAATACTAGCCGCACATGTACTGATGTAACGCACTCAGTTTATTGGACCATACGACCATATAGCCTAGCAGGCACAACCAAAGAAATAATAAATGTCTAAAAAGGTGCGGACGTCATGATGTGCTATGCATACATAAACCGATTACATTAAATCCCGCCTGAGGAGTGCTGCAAGAAATAGGTAGGGCCGTAGTACACGGAAGCTGGGCACAGTACGGCCCCGAGACGCCCACTGAGTAAGGCGGGTAGCGTGTCTGCACTCTTATAATCCGCCGCGAGTCTGGAAGACTGCATTTTTCCACCTCATCATCCAGTGAGCTGTCTGGTCCATCATATGCCGTGCCCAAAACGAGCCTCTTCCACATTCAAGCCATTATCCCGGATGTCTGTAAAAACCCTTAGCCCTTTCCTTTCACCACTTTTCATCCGTTCCTTCGTTCCGGTACTCCTTTAATTTTCCTCTACCTCCCCATGGCCTTCATCCGCCCTATATCTGTCGTGCGACAGTCATCCTCCTGTCCCCTTTAATGTGGCTCACACGCCGTCGTCCTCTCTGTGGTCCACCCTTATCGTATCCCTTTTGTGTGTCCTTGCATTACATTACATTGAGCTTACTCCGTTAAGGCGGGATCTCCGCCGTACCCAGTGGCGTGCAGAAATCAACCGATCAGTGCCCTACTCGGCTTCCTCTGACGTGGTCCCTCCCTCCTCCGCAGTTTGCCCTCGCCGTCCTTCCCTGCCTCCCCCCCCCCCCCCTCTTTGATACGACCTTCTTTCGGCAGAGCGCTTCTCATCATCCCACCCCGCCTCCTCTGACGCGACCTTCCCCCCGCAGCCCGCCTCTCGTCGTTCCTCCCACGCCTCCCCTGACGCGACCCCTCCCCCCGCAGCGGCGCGTCTCGCCGTTCCGGCCGGCGCCTCTCAGTCTGAAGCCGCTGTTCTTCGAGGTGCCGCAGCAGGAGCAGGACCCGCTGTTCGTAGGCCGTCGCTGGCTGTTCGCCGAACTGAGTCGGGTGCTGCTCGGCTCGCCCAGCCGCGGCTGCGTTCTCGCCGGCAGCGTCGGCACCGCAAGACGGCCGCCCTCCTCCAGCTGGTCGACTACAGCTGCTTCGGCCGCCGCGCCGCTCGGGAGGACGCCCTCTACCAGGGTGAGTGACGCCTTCGGAGGTGGTTTTGCACAGAGGCAGACGAGGCAGACGGCGGTCCCAGAACCCGGTACAAAGCTGATCCGTTAAACTTTTAGGTTGAAAAACGTGATGGACGCGATGACTTGTAGAGAGCATCCGAAAAAAAATGAGGCGAGTGTATGAAGAGGCCCTGTAGCGAGCATGATCTCTCGAAAGTGCAAGGCACCTGACGTACTCGTAGGCAGTTTACTGTTGAGGTGAAACTGAGAATGAACGTGTTACGATGACTGCTGTCAAGGCGAGGCCTAGCAGAATTTGGCTGGGAGCTCCCTACCAGGACGGCTTTGATTTTATGGTGCCGAGTCGTGCCAAGCTGATTGGTGCGGTGCATACCATTCGTGATCTAAGTTTCCTTCGCTCACGTTTAGCGGTGGTAATGCCACTGTGATGAATTGCCTAACCTTTCGGAAGCTTAGCCATAGTGAAAAAACAAAACAGCTCTTATGCCTCAAGCAGTAGGTAATAATGCAGCCGTTGTGCAACGAGCACGAGCAAGCATGAAGTGCTGCACTGGCCAAATGACATCGGAGCGAGGTCCGCGCTTAATCCCTGATAAAACCAGCTCATAGCACGTTGTCGTTGTCTCATTTGTCTTAATCACAAATATCAATGGATGCTTGATTTGATTCGCAGAACGTGATGACTGGGCTCTTACAGTTGAACCGTCTTATGCTTCTACGTGCTATTTTCCAGTGCCAGTTGCACTGCCTTTGTAGGACCATTTTCGGCGAGATAAGCAATGATCATGCATTTGCAGCTTCAAAGGTGGATTGTTCTTTTCCCTCGACGTTGAGTATAAGCCCATTTCTTCTATCCGCCTGCTTCTCAGGCTTGTCGGGTCGTAAGCTGTACGCCTTTGGCTCGTGCTGTAAGCTGTACGCCTTTGGCTTGGTCCGACGCCACGAACTCGCCGGCGATGCACCTGGCTTATTTCTCAGCGTATCGCATCCTTCTTTACTTCTTGTTTCCCTCCACCGAGGTCGCCTGGCCGTTGAGGTCAGCCGGTAGGTTACACATACCAGCGACCGATGCCGTGTGACCGTGTGACCAGCCCTCGACCCCGACGCTCCGAGGTCGAGCCGCCTCCGGCACTGACCTGGACCGTGCCCGTCCAACAGACGCATTCTCGGGCGGCCCCGGCCGGCCCCGAGCCGTCGTTGGCGGCGGCGGTCTCTTCTCTAGCGTCTGCGCGGTGCCGGAGGAGCTGCGCGGTCTCGGCAGCCGCGTGGTGGCATACCACTTCTGTCAGGTTAGCAGTGACTTGCGGTTTGCATATTAATTGTTGTCTTGACCTCGGCACACGTTACTGTGCGGTGGTATTAAACGTTTGGATTATTAGTTTGATGTTCAACAGCAAAAGTAGCCGTCCTTGAGATGGGTCCGGAGCATTCCCCCGCTGGAAAGTTTTTCCAACATTACCAGTGCTGGCCCGCAGAGCGTATGCGTTGCATCGAATCCGTCCTGAAAATTGATCGATGTAAAACATATGCACGCTCCCATCGTGCTTCCACGACCGGCTGGTGTGTTGCGAGCGAACGGAGCCGCACAGAGAGCCGCCCCTTTCTGCCTTGTCCGCCAGTCCCTCACTCCACCTCTCCCCGCAGGCGGACAACAGCGCCACCTGTCTGGTGCCCGATTTCGTGCACTCGGTGGCGGCGCAGCTGTGCCAGGCGCCGCAGCTGACCGCCTACCGGGAGCACGTGCAGCGCTCGCCGGCACTGCAGGCGGCGCTGGCGCTGCGCTCGTGCGTCAGCGACCCGTCGGCGGCGCTGTCGCGCGGCGTGCTGGAGCCGCTGCAGCTGCTGCGCCGCACCGGCCAGCTCACGGGCGAGACATGTCTGGTGGTGCTGGACGCCCTCGGAGAGGCCGAGTACCATAAGCCAGGTGGGTCTGGAGCCGGGGTGCGCAGGCAGCGGGGACTCGACTGTTCTTGGTCGGTGCTTATGTCGGCGGGATGAGCCAGTGCTGAATTAACAACACGTGCTGTATTTCATGTTTAGTTTAGTAATAAGCACTGGCGAGGACGGCTCTAGTTACGAGCAGATGACTTTTTGTACACTTTATTTAATGCGCAGAAGTTGGCCAGAAGTCAGGCGTTTGTTCCTTGGCAGCTAAGAGCTAGGACACACAATACATGTACGGGCCTTCAAGCGGTGACCTGGGAGGCGTGGCTCGCCGTGGCGCACTCTGACTCGGTCTGTTTGCCCGCAGAGTACGGCGACAACCTGGCAGCTTTCCTGGCGCGCCACCTGATGATGTTCCCGTCGTGGCTGAAGATGGTAGTGACGGTGCGCTCCCAGATGCAGGGCATCGCCAGCCTGCTGCCGTTCCACAAGCTGAACCTGGACCGACTGCGCGACACAGACGAGCTGCAGAAGGACCTGGCCGACTACATCGCCTTCCGCATCAACAACTCGCCCTCCATCACCAGCAGCATCCAGGTGACGGGCGCCAAGGTGGAGGGCAGCAGCCAGTCCCGCTTCATCGCCCACCTGGCCGAGCTGTCGCGCGGTTCCTTTCTCTTCATCAAGCTGACGCTTGACCTGATCGAGCGCGGCCACCTGGTGATGAAGTCCTCCAGTTTCAAGGTCCTGCCGGTGAGCCTCAACGAGATCTTCCTGCTTAACTTCAACCTCAAGTTCCCGACGCAGCGGTCCTACGAACAGGTGCAGCCCATCCTTACAAGCTGCTTGGCCAGCCTCTGTCCGATGAACGCCTACGAGATCTATCACTCGGTGAATGCCAGCTGCACGCAGACGGCCCTTGGCTGGGACGAGTTCCTGCGCCGCTTCAAGACGCTCTCGGGCTTCCTGGCGCGCCGCATGGACGACACGTACATGCTCTTTCACCCGTCGTTCCGTGAGTGGCTGACGCGTCGTGAGGACAACGAGAGCCACAAGTTCCTGCTGGACGTGCGCGTGGGCCACGCCAACATCGCGCTGCGCATGAGCCGGCTGGAGGCGCCGCTCGACGCGCAGAAGACGCTCGAGCTGGGCCACCACGTGCTGAAGGCGCACCTCTACAAGAACTCGCGCGAGCTGCCGGTGCCACCGCGCGACCTGCAGGCGCTCTGGGTGGCCGCGGCGTCGGCCGACCTCTCCGCCGCGCTTGTCGCCGACCGCAACGCGCACAGCCCCAACGTCAAGGTGTCGAACCTGCTGCTGCTGGCCGGCGCCTCCCCGGACGCGTCCTCGCCGCAGCGGGACGGTACGCCGCTTCTCGGCTTGTGTGCCGCCGAGGGATTCGACGAGATGCTGCAGCTGCTGCTGAAGTTCGGCGCGGCGCCAGACGCGGCCAACGCGCGCGGCGCCACGCCGTTGATGCTGGCGGCCGCCGGCGGGCACGCCTGCGCCGTGCAGACGCTGCTGCAGTGCGGCGCCAGCGTTGGCCTGCGCGACGCCGGCCGCCGCTGCGCGCTCGTGCATGCGGCCGTGCACGGCCACCTCAGCGTGGTGGAGTACCTGCTCTGGTGTGACTGGGCGGCCGCCGGCGACCGGCTGACCATGGCCGAGGCGGCGCAGCAGGCGCTGGTGGCGGCCGCGGGCAACGGCCATCTGCAGATCGCCGAGTACCTGCTCGACATGGAGGAGGTCCGTAGAACGCGATAACTTATTTATTTCATCGTGTTACTCAGACTCAGTGTCTTTGCATGTCTTATTGAAGGCGTTTATTCACAGCTATTGTATTTCGTCAGTTGCAGTTGCTTTCTCGCTGGTTTCTTCATCCGTGACAGATTTTCTCTGAACCTCAACCCTGTTTTGCGTTCACCAGGTGGCAGTGAACGCGTGCGACATCCTGCACGGCGAGACGCCGCTGACGATGGCGGCCGCTGCCGGCCACAAGCCGCTGGTTGAGATGCTGCTGCGCCGCGGCGCTACCGTCGCCGCCGCCAACTCGAAGGGGGCTCCGCCGCTGCTGGGCGCCGTGCGGGAGGGCCACTGGGACATCTGCGTGGTGCTGCTGGGCCAGGGGGCGCAGCTGGAGCAGCCGGACGACGCCGGCCGCACGCCGCTCATCGTGGCGGCTAGCGAGGGGCATATGGGCGTGCTCGACCTGCTGATCAGCAAAGGTGTGTGACAC